GTTCTGCCCTGGAAGAGAGCTGGTGTACCCTAAGGGCTGCCTTTCTTCTTTTAACCCATAGGACAGAGAAATCCCAGAAGCTTGTGTGACTTCCCATATTGCAGATAGGGCATTTTGTTGCAGTTTCAGACATTCAAATTCAGACATCAAGGCTGAACTTGATTTTCTTTAGTTCCAGCTCCAGAGGATGTTTTCAGGGGTCTTGTGGCCACTGTCTCCAGTGCAATAGAGTTCAGTGCTACAATTTCATTTCACAAAGACCACTATGGACTTTAAAAGCCCAAATCTGGGCCCAGAGACTTTACAATGTCTTCTCTGGTCCAGTTTAATGAAGTAGAGATTATTGGAGATATTAATGGAGTAGAGAGCAAAAAGGCTGACAGGACCCATCAGTGCAGTGCAGTACCTTTCAGCAGGTTTCCGTTCATTCTCCCATCCGCAGGTATGGATGCCCATAACAAATCAAGAGCTGGATTACAACCAAGATTCAAGTTACTTCCCTGCCAAAGCAGGACCCATTCATACCAGTGATGGCCCACTTATATCAAAGCTGCTTTTATACTCCAGGCAACTGTTCAAGACTCCTTGGAAAGGATTTTTAGGTCATCTTCAGACACAGGTTCAGTGGACTATTACACAAGTCTTCATGTAACTGCTCTTAGTGCGGTCTTTGGTTCTCAAGAGCCAGAAAAATAGCAAGGATTGCCACTGTCTTCTTGCTGGCTTCTTTGCAGTTTCAGTTCCTACTGCTTCAGTTGCTGGCAGAGTGGATCTCTATAGTGCTTCTGCCAAGCAGAATTACTGCTGTTGCCTCAGGGTCTGATACAGCTGTTGGTAAAAAACTTCCACCCTGCTCTCCCAGCTATTTTATAAGGAGCTTCAGATTACCTTCTGGGCACAGCTACTGTGTTCTTATACTGTGCCAGATACAAAATGATCTCATTTTCCTCTAGCCTAGATAAAACACTCCAACAACTGCTCTAATAAAAAAAAAAATCATTTTTATTTTACGTACATAAAACAAACATAACAGAGGAATCCAAGCCGTTAGAGAGGAAACAAAACAATACACTCCTTTATATCAGGCACAGGCATTTTTCTTCCCCTTCAGACCAGGGAGAAACCCATCCTAACCAGAAAAGGTCCATCACCCCCGCAAAAAATGGTGGAACACCTACCAACTTTGCTTACTCACTTCCAAGAGACTTACCTCAATCACTCATCCCTTCCTCTGGGTAGGAGCCCTACATAAGTCTATAAAATACTGCTCCTACCTCTTGACTGATCCTGAACACCCATACTCTACCAGAGCAGAGTTACTTTGATAAAGCAACTTGTACACTTTTTATACCAGCTCTCAGACCTTGCCTGAATTAAGCAATGTAGCCAACAAGTGTGGAACTAGAAGTACTATGAGTACTTAGATTGGAGTTGGATAAGACTGATGAAGAGGAGCAGAGTTTGTTGAAGGAAATGCCACATAAGCCTGAGGTTCCTCCTAAGCAGTTTGGGTGTTCATGAGACACCAGACAGCTGTGACATCAGTAATACTGCAGTATTGCAATGTACAAGCCAATCTAACCCAAAGCATGTTGTTTTGCAATACTGCAAACATGATGACACAACTTTGGCAGGAGGAATGATGCTATCACAACAAAACTCAGTCTCAGAAGACTAGATGGACCTTAGGAGTTTATATAATGTATATATGTAATGGTTTAAGAAAGGTCATTTAATTTCCATTCAACTAATGATAACAGCTGTTATCTTTCAGGTACCTTTAAATTTTCGTTCAAAATGTTTGTAAACTAGATAATGCAGATTTTTTTGCATCAAGTGATCTTATAAGACATTAGTGAAGTCAGGCTCCATTTTTCAAGATATTTGCAAATGTAATATTTATTAGTGCTGTGCTTATTATTTTAGTCTATGACTAATTCTTAAGAACACTACAACTATTATATGGCAAGTGAATAAGGCAGATAAAGTGTATTTAGAATTACCTATACAAATACAGATTTTAGAAAGGCATATGTAAGTTTTACAATTAGGAGATTAAAATGACACGGCTAGAGAGAAATAAACTGTTTTCTTGAGATCTCTGGTACCTGTTTCTGTCTTGGTTCAAGCAGACCAGAGTGAGATTGTGAGTATAAAAATTGGTCAGCTTTGAGCTTTGTTTAGAAAGTTGCCTGATAATTAGATGCAAAGGCCATTAAATATATATCATTTTTCCACTGTGCAAGCATAAATTATTTCCTATAATAAATTTCACTGTACATGTTACTAGGCTGTATATAGATCAGAAATGGATATTTATAATTAGCCTGCATTTGCCTTCACCTCTATCTTTGTTTCCAAGGGTTGCTATGGATAACTGTTCTTCCACCTCCTGTGTGCTCACTTTGCAGGTCTTGTGAGTCTCACAAGGATGAATCCGCTCTTCCACAGCATTCAATATTTATACGGTGACCTGACGAAGCAACCTAGGTGAAAATATAGGCAATACTGCAGTTAGGTATTACACCTTCTTGCTGTTAAACCTTAACAAAACCATAGTGCAGCCCCTCCTGGGCCTTCCTAGGATAGCTGCCTCAAGCAGTGTAGGCAAACTGAGAAATATGCTAACAAGAGAAACATTTTCGGGAGTTTGCCTCTTCTCTAAACTCCTATTTTCTGGGAATGCTAAAATTTATGCTAAGAACTCTGCCCAATAGTTACGAATGACAAAAATGTCCACTTTCATTTACAGCAAGCCAAGATACCATATCCCATTTCCTTCAATAGATATTGCCACAGTAATCCATTTATGGATTGATTTATTTCAACACATATCTGGGAATGGTAAGAACTGCAATGAAATACGTGCTGCGAAATATTTCTGCCTAGCAAGGAAGACTGCTTTCAGCTCAGCACTTCATGTTTTGAGGGACTAAGTTCTCTCAGAGAGAGACCCCCTGGCCCCGTGATGGCCCAGAGGTCTTGCTACCAGAGGGACCTCCAGCCCTTCTCCATGATGGCAGGATGACTTATGTTCTGCCCTCCCAGAACCTGGAAGTTGCTGAATGGTAGGTGAGAGAGGCCGGGAGACTCCTGATTTTGAGCAGCTGAGCTTGCCCTGTGCCATTAGGAGAGAATGAACATTTTCCTGGAAATAAATGTAGATTCTGGGATTTACTGCTGGACAAAACCAGAGTGATTACGTATCCCGCAGTTTTCGGGCAATGTGCATGACCCTTGGCAGTGGCCAAGCTTTCCCACTCTGTAGCCACACAGTCCCTTGCTAATTCTCCAGCTCTGCCCAGCACACTGACCCAGCTGGTGGTGGGGTGGATTGAGCCACAGCTCCGGGCCATGAGTGGAGGCTGCAGCAGCAGCCTTGAGCCCTCGCCTGGCCTTCAGCTCGCTCCTGCCCTGCTGCCACAACGCACCGTGCTCTCAGCTGAACCAGGGAGCCGACACAAATTTTAAAATCCCCAAGGGAAAGCAGAGCACTGGAAAGCAGAGCTGCTCCCACAGCAGAAACCCTGGCCCAGCAGGGCTCCCTCTGTCCTGCTGCAGACCACAGCCCTCTCTGCACATCTGCTCCCATCCCTCTCTCCTCCCGCATCCCTTTGTCCTGCTGCATCCACCTGTCCTCCCGCATCCCTCCACACATCTTCCCGCATCCTTCTGCACGTCCTTCTGCAACCCCCTATCCTCCTGCATCCTCCTGCAAGCCCCTGCACATCCTCCTGCACCCCCCTGCACATCCTCCTGCATCCCCCTGTCCTCCCGCATCCCCCTGCACACCCTCCTGCATCCCCCTGTCCTCCCGCATCCCCCTGAACATCCTTCTGTATCCCCCTGCACACCCTCCTGCATCCCCCTGTCCTCCTGCATCCCCCTGCACACCCTCCTGCATCCCCCTGCACATCCTTCTGCATCCCCCTGCACATCTCCCCGCATCCCCCTGCACACCCTCCTGCATCCCCCTGTCCTTCTGCATCCCCCTGCACATCCTTCTGCATCCCCCTGCACATCTTCCCGCATCCCCCTGCACGTCCTTCTGCAACCCCCTATCCTCCTGCATCCTCCTGCAAGCCCCTGCACATCCTCCTGCACCCCCCTGCACATCCTCCTGCATCCCCCTGTCCTCCCGCATCCCCCTGCACACCCTCCTGCATCCCCCTGCCCATCCTTCTGCCTCCCCCTGCCCGCTTCCCCGCCC